CTTTTGCTGACCTGGCTGAGTATGAAGAAGTTTTATAGAGAAATTGACAAGATTTTGTAAATTTACTTTACTGATTTATGTGAAAATATGGTTTACGTGCACAAATACAATCAATGCCCCATTCTAATCACATGTTTAAGCATATCAAATCACTAAAATTTTTAAAAGATACAGCACAACGAGCTGTTAAACTAATTGAAGACTATGCATCAATGATGATGAGCAGAAATACTTTCTTTTACGTGTGTAGAACACCATTGAAAAGTTCTTCCTCACATAAATAAACAAGCAATTTAAAAACGTATTTTTTAAAAATATGCTAAGAACAATCTCTTTTTTACTATAACTTTAAAATATTATTATTTTGTTGTTGTAATTTAAATAATGAACAAGACTTTGAATTTCATAGTATTTTTTACAATTTTGCTTTAACATTATTAACTTATACTAATTATTTTTTTGCTTCTTTGTTTTTTATAAAGGTACCTATTTAGGCCAGGAAAAAATTTGTTTTTATTAAATATTTATTTATTTTTATTACAAAACTATTTAAAAATATAGTATCAGCTAATTTATTAGATATAAATAATAGATATATAAAAGGAGTAGATTAAGGATTACTTTAGAGCAAAAACACATCAATTATGGGTTTTTGCTCTAAAATTATAGGTTATGAGGGAAGGAAAAGGACCTAACATGACTTTGTTTTAAAAATAATAAATAATTAATAAGTTTTATTAAAAAAAATTATAATTGAAAATTATTATAAATGCAAACATAGATGATTATCGACAATAATTTTAGTCCTTTATGTCTAAGAGACATAAAGGACTAAAAATAGGACTTTATGTTGAGGCTCAATTATGAAAGTTTTTGACTTTTTTTGTTGTTGTTGCTTTTAGTAGATAAAAATACATAGGAAATTGATTAAAAACCTAAAAATAGTTAACAACTAAAAAAATTCATTTTGTTTTGGAACACCCTAATATATATATATATATATATATATATATATATATATATATATATATATA